TGTTCATCTATAAATGTTATGAAGCAGGGTTGGTAGAAGAAGGGTAGGTAATCCAGGTTATTTTTCTTGCTGTGGAATGGGTTGCACGTTATCCTTTGCTAGTTTACTCCCTGGTGGTGTGGTTCCGTTTCGGTCAAGCCAGTGTGAATCTGGTCATTTGAGAAGGTTGAAGGAAGGACTAGGACTGGAGGATTGAGTTAGTGAAGAGTTGAGCTGTTTTCTCACGTTTCTCTAAAGCCAGGATGACCTTGACCTCTTTGTGGAACCTGATCTGTTTTTACCAAAGTTCCTAGACTCCAAAGGGAAAGAAGCCCGGAGAGTCGTAACCCTTGAGGAACCCTTAACTTTATTCCCCTGCTGAAAAGCAGCTGGACTGGAAGTACTCTTTCCCATAGCCTAGACTCTTGGGATAGTCTTTAAAGTGTATAAATTAGTTTTTACTCTCATTTGACTGTGTATAATTAGAAAGAAACAGGATCCTCCTTGGGTTTGGAGTGAGAGCCTGCCTCAGACTTGTAGAGAAATCCATCCATACAGTACAGGACATTAAAACAAAAGTAGGACTTCTGAGTCACCACAGAGTAATAGAAATCTTTGAGTACTAGTTTTTGCTTCTAGTTTAGGAAACTCCTTAAATTGGGGCTTGGTTGATCCACCATAGACAACTGAACATGGGTCTTGTGATAAAATAGTTAAACAATATAGTTTAAAAGATAATCGCTCTTTTGCCTATTCTCTTTGCCCTGAGGGCAACAGACTAAATCTCAGCAATAAATATAGATGAATAAGCCTTGAAAATGTGCTGGTAATTCTTACTGTGCCTGATCATCTAGATTGGTGCTTTTCAAAATGTGGTCTCTGGACCATCAGCATCACCTGGAAATTTAATAGAAATAAAAATTCTTGGGCCTCAGCTAAGACATATTGAATTGGAAACTCTGGAGGTGGGACCCAGTAATCTGTGTTTCAATAAGCCCTCTAGGTGATTCTGATATATGTTCAAGTTTGAGAACCACTAATCCTAGAACATCAAGAATGAACCATGGTGTTTTGCTAGTGCACTGCTTCAGCGTAAATACCTTATTGCTCATGTGGGTATCACTGCCCGTGTATACACCAGGAAAAGACAACCTGCATTATTAGTATTACATTGAACGTTACACAAAGTAAAATTGTTGGTGGCCTTCAGAATTCTATTTCCCTCTCTTCTTGCTGAGTACCTGGAATAAGGTAACTGCTTGATAAATACTTATTAAATGAATTCTTCCCACCCCCAAAAAGCAAAACAACGTTCTCTTTTTTATTTCTTGTGGATTCTTCCTTTGCAGGAGCATTAAGCCTGAAAGTGAGGTTCCCAGTTAAGAACATTTCTTTCTCCTAATAGTGATATTGGTTAAAGGAGATTGCTGATACTAAAAATAAGAAAGAAGAAAGAGACAAAAAAGACATAGTTCCTATGTAGCTGATTGTATGCTTTCCTCAGAATTATCTACCAGTAGCTCTCAAATGTAGCCTACATCAGAATCACCTGGAGAACTTGGCAGACATAGATTGCTGGGCTTAACTCCTAGAGTTTCTGATGTGGTGGGTCTCGCATGGGGCCAGAAGATTTGCATTGCAAAGTTTCCAGGTGATACTGATGCTGCTGGTCTAGGGACCACAGTTTGAGAACCACTGCCCTTAGTTCACTAAGACCAGAAATACAGGTAATTTCATGAATGTGAATGTTAGCTCCTGGTGCTTACGGAGCCAGTGATCTGTAAATGGAAAGTATAGTATACACCTGGATAGCCAACCTAACTGAATTTTTTTTTCAGAGGTATCTGTTAAGATCTTCTTCAGCATAAGACTTTTTTCCCAACACTTCTTTAAAAACTGACTCAAAACTCACCTACCTAAATAATTTGAGTGGAACAGATTCTTCATCCAAATCTTGCCACACCGGTAATTTCATTTCTCTGCTGCTTTTCACCTCAGGGTTTGTTGAGAGTTTAGCTAAGCTACTCCATGGTGTTGCTGCCTCGGCATGTGTTCTGTTTGTCCACGCAGCCTGCAGTGACCTTAAACTGACAGTAGCCCCCTCATGCAAGTGCATGCCCTACATAGTAGCTGTCAGTCACAAGCAAATGGAAGTTTCTGATACGTCTTCCCTCATGGCCCTTATGATCAAAAGATTCCCCTCCTCCCATTGCCTTCCCTTTTTGCAACCCTTAGATAAGACTCCCTGTGGCTTACCAAAACCCTGCTCTCTTGGTTTGAGTTGACCAGTCCAGCCTTAGCCCAGGAACCCCAAAGCACTCCACTCACAGACCGTAATAGGGGTATGTGCCCCAGGTCCTGCCTCTCCCTGCGCTCTGCCTTGACCTGCCTATGTTGTCCCTTGAGATGTGTCAAGTACTTCCTTCAGGACCTGTGAATAATGAACTTCTCTATTTCATTTCCTTTTGTGTCTGGTTGAAGCTTGGCTCACCATCCAGCACCCTGTGCTCCATTTAATGAGTTAATTTGACATATTCATAACAAGCTTACTTAATTTTACACTATAATTTTGTACCCAAACATACGTTGCTTCTATATCTTATTTGTTTCTCTATTTTCTGTCCTCAAATTGAAGTTCATAAAAAATGAGAAAGTTGGCTTTTCTTTTGAATTTTTTCTCACAATGAAACACTTTTTGTAGACTTAACTCCTTGTCACTTGGATTCTTACATAACACATTCTTAGCATTTGCTGAAACATGTTAAAATGAGGTGAAACTGAGGCTTTTTTTCCTCCAACTCTTTTATAAGCCTTTTTTCTTCTTGCTAAACGGGTAGTTGTGAAGAAGGAAATCTGAAGTATCTCAATGAATACAGAATTCTTACATTTAATAGAAACTTTAGTTGAATAGTTTCCCCCATATCCATATAAACACACAGAGCCCTCTGTGAATTAAATTTAGTGTTACTGTACTAGATAGGTTCTAGTGGAGAAGAAAAGTCTTGAAGACGGTTTTAGGTTTTTTTGTTTCTTTTTGCTGAGGAAGATTTGCCCTGAGCTAACATCCGTGCCAGTCTTCCTCTATTTTGTATGTGGGTTGCCTGACACATGATGGCTGAGAAGTGGTGTAGGTCCAGAATCTAAACCTGCAAACCTGGGCCACCAAAGCAGAGTGCTCCAAACTTAACCACTACACCACGGGGCTGGCCCCAGTTTTTCTTTTAATGGAATGTCTCCCATGAATTTGTGGAAAGACTTACCAAATCAGTACCTTCTTTGTTAAAACCTGTGGTTGGTGTTGCTCTGTAATTTCAGTGACACTATAGCCAATTTTTTTTTCCTATTTCGAGGGGTTATTTTTAACCACTGTTTTGCCATTACAGAAAGTCTGAAACAGCTCTTTGTAAGTGTCTTTGCCTTAACGTGCTTCTTTGAGCAACTTTCATGATCAAATTAAAAGGCAATTGGTAACTTTTATATCCTCATACATATTTGTTTTTTATACATGCCAGTTGTGTTAATTTACACATTTGCTTGAGAGTCTTATTAATACACTGACTTATAAATTATCCTTTAACTTACTATAATTATAGTGGACATGCAAAGGCCACTAATCAATTTCCAGAGGTACATATTACCCATATAGTTATTACTAAATATTTGATGCCATTATTGATATTCTTATGTGAATGCCAGCTCACATCATGGGAATTTGGGTTGGAATAGACCTTCACTATCAAATTGCTCAGAATTTCTAGTGTGCAAATTATTTGGCATTTCATTTTTATGTGCTAGTCTCTCATCCTTATTACCCTGATACTGTGTGACTATACCTACTCCTGGTTGTTTCTTTATATTCTCTACTTTTATTTCTTTGAGTCTCTTGGGCAATGACACTTCATTAAAGCACCTCAGTAAAACATAGTCAAAACAATAAATAAGCAAAAGATAAGATGTTCTTTTATTTATACATTGAGCGTTAAAATGTGTAGTAATGATATTTTCTTTTCAAAAATGGATCTACAGTGTCTGTTTTAAATAGCTTTTTTATTTTCTTGAATGTTTAGCTTGGAGAAAAGAAAAAATTAGAATTTGCAATCAGTCCCAAATTTTAGTGGATGTTTCGCTAATGAAAAATACCTTTTTCTAAAGAATGTGTAGCATTTTAATATATGGATTAGTACCATGTAGATATTACCATGTTATCAGTAGTAGTAGTCTGAAGTCAAGGCATAAGTAGTGTGTTCCTGAAATCAAGACATAAACCTGAAGCTAATTATAACAGGTCATTAGGATTTGGACTAATTATAGTACTTTATTGTTTCCATGGTGCATACAATCAGAGTTAAGGTTTAAATGCTTCTAGAAAGAAAACTTAAGAACTGGTTGGGATAGTGTAGTGATTTAGAATCCAGACATCAAGCCTGGACTTGAAAATCAACTTTGCAGTTGGATAACCCTAGGCAAGTTTCCTAAACTTTCTGAGTCTCTGTTTTCTCACCTGAAAAAATGGGAGTAATACTACCAATCAGTGAGGATTAACTGGGATGCTGTGTATAAAGTACCTGCACAGTGCGTAGAATGTATCGTAACCATTTACAATGACTGTTAATTAGAATTTTGGCATAAAACTAGCAGTGTTACTACTTAGTGTTTAGTATTTTTTGCTCTATATAAAAATCCAGGAGCAAGCTCATTTGCTATGTCACAATGTCATTTTCTCTACTGGATGGCTGCATAAAAGTGGTAGGCTGATTGTATTCAGCAGATGAGAATGCACTGAAGGGAAGAGAAAGCAAAGACTTAATGAGAAAAGAGTGAGAAAGGAGAAAAGAACGCAAAGGTGTGAGAGAGAAGGCACTGAGACATGCAGAAAACAGACGCCCCCCTCCCCTCGAAATGAAACAGGAGTGAAAGGAAAGCAGAAATAAGGAGAACAAAACAATGGAGAGGACTAGAAAGATTATTCTGGGGGAGCTTCTGACCATGATTCTCTACATATTTCTGCCTTTTTTTTGTAGAGTTGCTATTTTTCATCTATGGATTGAGTCCTGATCATAACCATATGATGATAGATTCCATTGAAGAGTGGTAAGTATTTCAAATAATGGCTTTACTACTGCTATTACTTACAATACTGTATTGATGTTTTTTTCAACCCACTTTGGGTAAACTCTTCTACTTTACAATTGACTTAATAATTTGGCAATAAAAAAGATACATGAAGAACATGTGTATTTTTTCACACACTGGAATACTTTTAAAGTACACACGTATTTATCCTTCACAGTAATTATTTATTAGATACTTATTTTGTAAGGAACTATGGTTGGTGCTGGAGACAGAAAATGGGTAAATTATGGTCCAGTGAGGAAGATTGGCCCATACAAAACTGACCTTAATTTAGCATAAGTATTGAATCTTTGAATAACTAAATTGGAATGTCAGGCCAATATGCAAAAATTGCTTAGAACATTTGTGGTATTCAAGATTTGGAATTGCCCTTTGAACCAGTACATAAGTAGGATAAAAAATTTATTTTTTATCACCAGATTTTTTTTGGTTTTACATTTTTAATCAAAAGTAGTATTGCCACATTTGGTCACCAATATATTAATCAGATGGATTTTAAATGATAGTTGGTTGGTTCTAAAAGCAAAACATCTCAGAGGATGGAAATTGGACCAGCTGTTGACATTTAAAAAACAAAAGCGCCGTAGTCATAGACAGAAGTACTCCAGGCCGTGAATTTTCTAGGTTGTTTAAAAGTTAGGAAAGGGATCAGAGCTGTTTAACTTAGGAAGCTATCAAACTTTTATGGCATCAGCCAGCATACGGTGTATAATTTCTTACATATGCCTGTATGTGGAGCCACAGAGAAAACTTAAATAAAGCCTAGAAGTGGTGGAAAGAGGATAGGTCTAGGAGGGGGCAAAATATTGTACAGTTCAGCATACAGTTTTAAGCCGGACTGAAATGCAGGTGAGAAGAGTAAAGCTTAGGAGCAGACGTTTAGCAAGTGGCAGAATCAGAACAGTGGGAACCCATGTCTGCTGATTTGTAGAGTCCGTTCTCTCCTGTATCATAAATACTTTTTAAAAAAGTGTTTTCAAGCCAATTTCCTGAAGACAATTTAGGATGACAGTGAGAAGTTGGATTGTTCAGTCGCAGGAGTATGCGTTCTCTAGCCAGGTCACCCTCAGCTCCTTGTAACCAGGCCAGAGAATTTAGATATTTCCCCTCCTTCCCCCATGTTTTAACTGGTCAGTATGATCAGTTCTAGGGTTTTTGGCATTTGGGAAAAAAATTGCTTTTTCAATCTTAGTAAAGTCTTCAAAACACGTCTGAGATTTTATTTGGTAACTCTCAGATTTTTATTTGGTAACATTCTGTAATATATTTACTACATTCACCCCACGGTATTAAGGTTTTATTCTTCCCACAAAGTTCAAGTCCGTACAGTTTTACCGTAGATTTCTAGGAGTTCAGAGGTACAGCACATTCTAAGGTGTGATATTGTCTTGATATAGCGTGTCTTTCCGGGGAAGTGATTGATACGGGCACTGATTTTCAGAAGCACACAGGTTCTGCTTGTCTAAAGCCTTTAAACCTAAGTAAGACAAGTATCAGCAGAGCAGAGCTGTTCTCTTGGGGGTTGTGTTGGCTTTTTTTTTTTTTGTAATCATCCTTGTTATTTCTTGGTAGTGAGTCCAGGTAGCTCTTGGAGTTACTATGCAGTTGTTAGAAGCCCTTGTCTCTGACGCACAGTAATACCTCCAGGGAACTAGGGCTCAACAGATGGCCCGTCTTCTCCAAAAGGATTTGATAATCTCCACATGGTGCTCTTTCTAAAGATTCTGAGATTTGGCAGTGGCAAACTAAACAGGAGGAGCTGAAAAGAAATGATTAGATAGTCCTAATGGACATTTTAAATAAGATTAAAAGCATGATAAAACTACTCTTGAGCCTCATTTGCTATTTTGTTTTCTCTTAATTTTATATGAAGAGGATGGAGATGATCTAAAAACATTTTTTATTTAATAACTTCTACCTTCTGTGTATGACTGAGGGGCAGTTTTTGAAAAAGAAAACTTCCTGATTATCATTCTGCATTTAGGCATTCCAGATGTCCCTCTCTCCTCCTACGCTCCGGGTTACCTAGAGCCAAATCCAAGTTAAAGAAGAACTTGAGAGAGAATTAAGGATAGAACTTGCTAAGTCACTGCAATCAAATTAAGCTTTCTTGAAACGTATGTGTTCACAAAGTGTTGACATGTAAACCTCTGAATAACCTCTAAATTTACCTAAGGGGATACGTGTCACATCATAATGGCTTCATAGATGTTGAATCTGAAATCCGTGAGAAGTGATCGATGCTCAACCAAATGCTCCTGCCCAAATTGATAGACAGATAAGGTCAACAACATTCTTTGAGTGAAACGAGAATTGTTTAACAGTTGAATTTTACTGATAGCAGCTTAGGGGCATCGTCTGCCGCTTCAACAAAATTTGGCTTCAAGCTTCTAGTTCATGAAAAACAATGTATTGTTTAACTTTACCTCTGCAATCCTCACTCCCCAGTTCAACAGACATTTATTGAAAATCTATTTGTGTAAAGTTAGGTGTGAACTTTTGAGTCATTTTGCTGTATATTTTTTTCATATGAGCCTTTTTCCTTCTCATCACACGGATCATAAGCCTTTAGATTGTGACCTTGCTCTCTAACAATTAGTTCAGCCTCAGCTATTGGAGATTTCCTAAAAATCCTCCAAAATTCATATTTTCCTTCTTAGTGTTTTATTCATTTATTGTGCTATCAGAAGGAATTTCTTTCTCCAGTTTTCTGTCATCACTCCGTTCCTTTCCATGGGCCTGTATCTTCCTGCTTTTGGCTGCCTCAGTCTAATGCTTCATTTCCACTTGGATGGACACTCTTCATTACCAGAAACTGTCACTGTGCTAGTATTGCAGACAGTCTCTTTGCCCACAGTCTCTTTTCTTTCTGTGCTTCCCACTCCATCTCTCCTATGGTGCTTTTTTAGCTTCACTGCAATCTCTACCCCTTTCACCTTATATTTTTTATCAGCTTCTTTTAGCATCCTTTGTATCATTATTGAAGGGGGATTTACCCAGGTTATTCATTTCATTAATAAACTTCCTAATATTCTAGATGTTGTTTCCCCTGAAATGCCTTAGCATTGCTAGAAAGTATTATGATTGATTCTAGTGTACATTTACATCCAACTTGAGGTTTTTTTTTTAAAAGAACAACAAACGTTTTTTATCTCACACAGCTTTTGTGGATCAGGAATCTGGGAGTGGTTGGCTGGCTGGTTCTGGCTTGAGGTCTCCCATGAGGTTACAGTCAAGATGTTGGCTGGGGCTGGAGGATCTGCTTCCAAGATGGCGCCTCACATGGCTGTTGGCAGGAGGCCTCAGTTCCTCCCCACATGGACCTCTCCCTTGGGCTGCTTGAGTGTCCTCATGACATGGCAACTGGTTTCCTCCAGAGCAAGTTGTCCAGCTAGAGCAAGGAGGACACCAAATATTTTGGACACACACCATTACTTCAGCCACATTCTCTTCATTAGAATCAAGTCCTTAAGTCCAGCCCATATTTAAAGGGAGGGGAATTAGGCTCCACCTGTTGGAGGGAGAAGTATCAACCAGTTCAGGGACCCGTATTTAAACTCCCACACTGCTCTAGGATACCAGGAAGAATGAAAGGCCTTTTTTGTTGTCTCCTTCCCAATAGGCAGCCAAATCTTAGGATTCTAAATCTGAATGCCCTTGCCAGAGGGGATTTTTTTTTTTCTGAGATAACATTGGTTTATAACATTATATAGGTTTCAGATGTACAAGATTGTAATTTGATGTCTGTATATACTACAGCTATAGTGCAAGATTGTAATTCAGTGTCTGTATATACTACAGCTATAGTGCACTCACCATCAAGTCTAGTTTTCATCCATCACAATGCAGTTGACCCCCTTTACCGAATTCACCATCCCCCAACCCCCCAACTTGAATTTTTTAATATTATGTTCTCAATTAGGGATCTAGTCTTGTTTCCTCACAAATATGTAACCATTCATCTTGGCACCATTTAATAAATAAACCATCTCTTTCCTAACAAATTGAAAAGCCACCTGTATTATATATTAATTTTTCGTAGATGCTTAGATTTATTTCTGGACTCTTTTTCTGGTTCTACTATCTATATATGTCCTATGCTAATACTTTATCATTTTGATTATAGTAATATTGTAATAAATTTCAATAACAGCAAGGATATTGGCTATTCTCAGACACTTATTCTTCCACATGAATTTTAAAGTCATTTTTTTCTAACTGCAAGAAAAAAATCTTATTGGGATTCATAAAGAAATTGTCTTAAGTGTATCTTTCTTCCTCTTGATCAGCCTTAGCAGAGTTATTTTTCAGGGTTTTTTGGTCTTTATGAAGAACTGATTTTGTCTTTTGTTAAGACAGTTCTCTATTATAAGATTGTTTTCTTTCTCTTATTTTAATTAAATGAGACTTTCAATGATTAAGTGCGAGTTAAAAGTTATGAACTCTGTAAAAAAGCCTGCTACCAGGAGAATTAGGAGGGGTAAATTAACAGAAATAACAAGAGTGCAATTAGTAGCAGTTATTGAAAAAAATACATAATCAGTGTTTACAAATCAGTGAGTTGAGACTCTTTACCAAACCAATTAATTATTCATCCATCTTGTTAGCCTGGAAATTAAAACATGCATGCATAACTTAAGTCTAAAGTTAATTAGTGGGGCCGGCCCCGTGGCTGAGTGGTTAAGTTCCAGTGCTCCGCTGTGGCGGCCCAGGATTTCGCCTGTTCGAATCCTGGGCGAGGACATGGCACTGCTTGTCAGGCCACGTTGAGGCAGCGTCCCACATGCCACAACTAGAAGGATCTGCAACTAAGGTATACAATTATGTACCAGGGGGATTTGGGGAGATAAAGCAGGAAAAAAAATAAATAAAGTTAATTAGTATGTTTACCTTCCTTGTAGATAATGTGGGATCTTAGAACGGTTTTAACTCCATCTCTCTGGGGTCAACATGTTAGA